GGTATTTTTCACTAATCAAAATCCTGAATAAAAAGTCACTGATTAATCCACATAAATATTCTCAAGTCCGGATGCGTACGGTATATCAGATCGTGGTTTTAACCACTGACCTATTAAATCAAAACATGTACCAACCGATTGAATTAAATTAAATGTTTATAGATATATTGATGAGGAAAAAAAAAGGTTGGGTGCTAAAGAATTGTCTTAGTTCATATCAAATCAATCTCCATCTATTACAAAAAAAATAACGTGTATCATGTGGATATATAATTTTACAATATAAAATTGTTGCTGACGAAACCTCGAGAAAACGATTGATTAACAAAGTTTCGTCGGTTGCACATTTTTAATATTCGTTTTGTTTTGTAGCCTTGTTCAAGTGATGAAGTAGTAATGTATCTCTGTATTTCTAAGATTTATTTCTTATCGTATTTTTAATTGAACAGAAACAGAGCAAGCAAAAAACAGAGGATGGGGATGCTCTGTTTTTGGGAATAGAAAAAAATCGAACTTTTGGTACTTACAGAGCTACGAACGACCGACCATTGATGGGTTTGTTCCGTGATTGTAGAGACTTCCATACCAGACTAAACTATCCATATCAGATCAATTTGGTCGTCAAAATCAATTCATATCGATCTATGAAAGAGGAGAGTTACGAAATACCTAATTGTATGTTTCTAATGTCAAAATTTTTGAAATTGATTAGCTTATATTCTACACAATAATTATTTATGTTACACGCAGTCTACACACTCATCACATAACTTTGACAAGTAATATAAGTGGCTAAAGTGGGTGCATTGGTAAACAATCAATGGGCAATACCACTAGACTAACACCACTTGTGGTTACAAAGCAAGCAAATTGGATCTCTGGAGTCATTGAAAACGAAATATATACGTCAAAACAAACAATCTTCGAGCCTCAGGAAAAACAAGAGAGGCGAGAAAGGGAGATAAAGAGAGTACAATGTGATAATATTACTCTATCTTAGAGATTGGAGGCACAGAGAGTTTGGTCTCGAGCATAAATGAGAGATCATGCATCTGAGACATCAGTTCCTCCGCGATATCGCTCTTTGACTTGGGAGATATTGTTGTTGTGCCTACAAGATCAAGTGTTTGATCTTTACCGGCAGGATCACTTGTTCTGGAAACAAAACCAGAACATGTTATTACATCTGAAGCTTCTTGTAAGTATGAAATGAAGATTGCTTACAGAAATTAGAGAATTAAAAGTTTAGGAGAATATAAGAAACCTCTCTAAGGTTGGCCACCAATACTTTCCGAAAAGAAATCAGAATTAAGATCTCGGTGATTGTTAGTTGCCCCAAACAAGTTCATTTCTGCATTCTGTTCAGAAGATGGATTCACATGGTTGGTAGGAGGCTGCACAGTTGTTTGCAAAACTGTGGAGGATGCGAAACTATCCCAAGTCCCAAAGAGATCATCATCTTGACCTTTGCCTATGTCAGATATCACACTTGTACCAGAATTCTGCTTCGCATCTTCGCTCTGTTCTTTTACATCGTTCTTAACACGCGCCAGCCTATCAAAAATCTTCTCTTGGGAACTTTCCATGGTTTGAGGAAGCGGATTTATAGGAGCCTTGTTAGCCGAACTTTCAAAATCATTCCAG